ATATTATAAAGAGGTAAAATTTGTAAGTTTGTATGTTTGTAAGATTGTATGTGTTAATTTCTGGAACCGCTCGGCGGATTTTCAAAATTCTTGCACTGATCACGCTACGATCTGTAGGAGCCGAGCAGCGGGTTAAACCGCGCGAGAGTAGCTAGTATGATATAAGTAATATAGAATAATAATAGAATCCTTTTACCATTTCGTAAGCAAATGCCCATTCACGTCTAAGTGTTGCTTAGACTAAAGAACTGTTGTTTTGTTCCTCCGTAACTTACCTAGTCATGAGCTTCCTTCAAAACACGAAATGTATGCCGTGGCATGTTCAGGTTCAGGGAACACAGGGATAATTTCACATGAAAAAATAAATATTCAAATTGACCACATAACTATTTCATCCTGACCAAAGCGATACTAGTTACATTTATATTGATTGAATCGTAACCCTTATTACAATGTACGAAAATATATATTGGCGTGTTTTGAAGTTTTACCAGTCTATAAATCTGTACCGTGAAAAGAAAAACTTGTATGCGAAATAATGCTGCACAATCCATTGCGTGTTTTCATTCACATCTTTACAATTTTTGTCGCAGTAAAACAGTAATGTAAAGGTGTTGTTGCGAAATTATTGTTTAGTGAATTTCTTAGTGGTGATGTGGAGTGGATTGTTTGTGTACGGTTGCCATGGCAACGGTATCGTACAATCTCGCTAACGCAAGTGGAAACCACGCTGATTCGGTCATTGGGTCGTTGATCTATCGCAAAATATATTATTTTTTTTCTGGGTTATTCTTTATTTATTAGCTTGTGAGTAAATAGGTAACAGCCCGTATAATTTTCTAATATTCCGTTATCTAAAACATTTATTAATGTAATAGAAACTATTTTTGCCACCATAAAAGCTGTGAAACTGTAAGTTAATGTTTTAGTAAACCTACATACGAGTAGATTTATTATATGAGACATAAATTTTGGAAGTGGTATCCAAATCTATACAATAGGTTAGGGTGGTACTTAATTTTTTGAGGAGGGGAAAAATCACCATATTTCTTATCTCTGGGTAGGGCGTGTCAGAATCTTACCCCCTTATTACAAAACCAGATTTATCTTTTGCAGGGTTGCTAGGTGGGCGCAATGTCGCGCCGCGGCTTTGGCCTAAAGGAACAGAAACGGGGATGTTTTTAGTCAGTAAGAGTCCGACACTCTCTATCGCCTTGCCCTGGGTTGGGAGAAGTCGTTTGATGATTTTCTCCTGACAAAAAAAGAGGTTTAAACCATTGGGTCGCGTTTTGTATTTTAAATTCTATTCTCACCTAACTTCAATTTGAAATATAAAAACTAGTTCAATAGTTTAGACCTACACTAAAGAAAAACCTTGTTTTGTTATGAGGCCGTTACTAACTAAAGACCATCATGTTTGGCGCTATTATGCCTCCTATCAGACCATCAGGCCTACTCTTAAAACGCTGCTAAAAAAGCACATCTGCGTTTTATTTTGTGTGATAATGACTTCTCCCGCCGTCAAGTAGTAAGTGTGGGAGAGAGAGATAGTGGTAAGTAAGTGTGGGAGAGCCATGCTTCGGCACGAATGGGTCGGCTCGACCGGAGTGATACCACGGCCTCACACAAAACCGGCGTGAAACAACCACAGCGTTGTGTTTCGCCGTGTGAGTAAGGTTACCGGAGGCTCAATCCTTCTCCTCCTATAATCCCTCCTCAATCCCTAAATCTCCAAATCCCTAATCCCTAAAAGGTCGGCCGGTCGTGTCCATGGGCGGCGCTGATTGCTTTCCATCAGGTAATACGTCTGCTCGTTTGCCGACCAATTACATAAAAAAACAAAAATTGCGCATCAATACAACCTCAAGTTATTTCCAGTTTTTTCAACAATTCCTAAGTTAAGTTAAATTGTTGCCTAGAGGAGGCAACAATTACATTGAAGCTGTACCTTTATGTTCAGTTCGATAGCGCCATCTATATTACGCACCTGCAACCAACACGATTTATTTCAAACTACTCCTATTTTCATTTATCCAATATTCTTAAGTCCCTATATTATATAGCTTAATTTATTTATATTAATGGCAATCATCCATCATTCTGTTTAGTTTTTAAATTAAAAGTTGCACTACTAATGTGTTTACTTCAGCTACTCACTACAAGATGGCGCTGTAATCATAAATCTATTTTCACAACTGACATCTATTTTCTATTTTTTGACTGCACGGTTGGTGCGGTGGCTGGGCAACTGGCTGCCGCGCAACGTGTCGCGGGTTCGATTCCCGCACGGAGCAACTCTTTGTGTGATTCACAAATTGTTGTTCCGGGTCTGGGTGTGATGTGTATGTGAAATTGTATGTTTGTAAACGCACCCACGACACAGGAGAAAATCCTAGCGTGGGGCAATGTTTTAATAATAAAAAAAAAAAAAAAAAAAAAAAAAAAAAAACAATAACTTTGATTACAACTTTAAGTTGAAAGGTACTATTATCGTATCGTATAATCACGTATATACATAGTTAGGTATATTTCACTACTTTTATATATGTAAATAGCCTATAAACTTATGTAGCACAACGAAAGTTTTATTAGCATTGGACACAGCATGGGTTTTTGTGCATACTACCTTTAATGAAATTAAGGAATTTGAAACAGATTGCTTATATTTTTGTTATTCCAATATTTGCCGTTGAACTTTGGCCAATTGCAGTTAGAATGATCTTGAAACACATCAGAGAACCCAGAGTTACAAAATAGAAAAAGATAGGTATGACTTCACTGCATCATTTGCAAGCCGTCGAAATGAAACCATGATATACTGATGATTCTTTATTTCCTTATAGTTATAAGTAAATATTAATACTTAAGATACAATAAGAAGTTATTTTGTTCCTACAATTAAGTTTTCCGCTTGCTTAAAACAATTTCACAGTACCTCGGTGTTGCTACTACTAAATTTTAAATAAAGTAGTATTTACAGATCGAAATATTTTTTTTGAACTTAATACAAAATAGGAGGTGTTCTGATATATATTTTTTTTATTTTTATCAATTTTTCTTTTTTATTTGAAGAAATTGTATTTTGAGGTATTATAGTAATACTAAGCGCGTAACTAGTAGACTAGTTTTTCAAAAATCTAAAAACATAAGTTAGTACAGCCATTCGTGATCTCGTGATCCAACTTTCACATTTACATGTTGGATGAAGCTTTACAAATTGATATGACTGTATTGTTCATTCTATATTATATCTATACCCATAATTATGGTTTTGAATTAATTTTAAACATCGCCGGTTGCACCGATTTTAAAAGAAGAAAAGTAGTGAAGTTAAATTTTATATACTCAATACTCAATACTCAATATATTTATTGCATTCCACAATGTGAACTTAGGTGGTAGGGTACATAAGGATTTACATACTTATATTAGTTTAGGAGAACCATTACTTATTTATTACCATTAGTTTGAACCATTAGTTATTGGATCTCCTAACATTGATTTGCACTTATGAAGATTATTTCTATTACCATAGCTGGTTCTATTAAAACAAATAATGATGCTTAGCATCTCGAAGGAAAAAGCAAGAACGTTTTTAAGAACTCTAAAGTTACACAAATATGGTTTAAGGAAAATAAGTGGTAGCTACCAGCCCGGCGACATTACTTTTAATTTACAATCGATAAGTTCCATCATATCTGCTTAAAAATATTTTACAAAAACTTACAAGAAATGTGATTTAACTTCATAAATGCGAGGACTACATTAACTGGCAGTTTAGTAAAAAAGAAGATTAATTTATTAGGTTTTTAACTAAAATAACAGACGAATTGGAACGTAAACTTACATAGCTAATTAAACACGAAATGCCAATTACGATGTACGACACTTTTATATTAGGTATTGTTAATATTTTTATTTTTAATAAATATATTTAGGGAGAAAATTATTAATGATTAGGTACTTGCAACATTAACTTTTACACCGGTGTGCCTACATCGACAATATTAAAATTTTAAACGATTAATATTATCAACATTCTGAAAACTATGGATAAGATTAAACATTTTAGTAATCTAGAATTATATTTTCTCATAAAACTTACTGACTAGTACATTATAAATACAAAAAATAAAACAAGATTACCACGACGCACTTAATGTAAAAGCACAGCATTAGACATTATAATAATAATAATCAAAACGTGTGGAATACAAAACAAACGAAATAATATAAAACTAGATGTAATACCATCTTAGAAATTTAAGAGAATATATTAAATAGTTAGATCTATGAACATGTTTAATACTCGTCCGTAACATAACATGTCCTTTGATGGTTTGTGAAGACACATACAATACATTGTATAAAAGAGAGTTGGTCATGATAAGGTAATTCAATTTGAATTAAAAAAATAAGTAAAATTTAATACACATTTATGGTTAGACGTAAATGTGTTTATTACAGCAAATGAAGTATTAAAGACTACATAGTTAGCAGGTGCAGTAATGTGGTAACTACAACTAGATTGACAAGACTCACACTGGATTGCAGTTATTTAAAGTATGGATAAGTAAGATTAACTTTTATTATTCGAGTAGACAAAAAGTCGTAAGTTCTGGCTACTCTACTAAGAAGAGAAGAAGAACAATGGAATGGCACTTCACGACGCTGGCTTGAACCAGACGTCCATCGGCAAGATGGTCGGTCGACGGCCGAGGAACCCGCGCTACGGGTCACTGCCACGTCGACAACACCTCGTCTAACATTGATTCCTTAACAGTAGGCGACGTATTCTCACTCAATCGATACTAACACTCAATAAATGAGGCACGCTAATGATAGGAATCAGAACTATCGTAAAGTGTCAGCAATAAATATTAATAAAAGCAAATTCAGAAGAAGATCGGAAAATCGCGAGGAACTTAAATTAATATCGATGAATAAACTTAATCGATTTTTGAACAATCGATGGGTAAAGTTAGTCGGAGTCGATTCGATTAGCCGGCGTTGCGGTTCGTTTTTGGTGGGCCAGCAGGGTGGTGGGGGAATTCCATGTTGAATTCTTCGACGATGGTCTTGGGGTGCAGGGCGCTGATGTTGTTGTCGACAGTGTAGGTCCTGGCGTGGGTCTGGGCGAGGGCTTGTCTAGGCTCGTTTACCAGCCAGTCATCGTCACGAAGCCGCTTGCGTCGAGCAACTTGTTTGTCTCGCAGATGTCTCAGCCTGGCGAGATGAGCGTTCACTTGCTGTGGAGTGAGCCCGGTGCGGCCAGAACGTAGCAGCTCAGCGTTACGTTGGTATGAGCCTTCAGGGTCGCGGCGATTCCATGTGTAACTGTAATTGAAAAAAAATAATAAGCTTCCACTTTAAGTAATTCATATCGTTAGTTAAATTTATAGAAGAATTCACAACACGCACACCGTTCTGTTCCTAGAACATAAATTGTAGTCTCTCCACCAACAGGAACTTGGAGAGTAGGTTTGCTTTCATGGTTCACGTACAACATTAATAAAACGACTAAACTGGCGAGGCTAGTCTACTTGTTGAAAAACGATTAGCAAAGCATCTGTAAAATGTACTGCTAGTGCCAAGCTTTCAACGATCGACATAGTTGGCAGTACACGCAGACAAGAGGAAAGCTGTTTGCCATCTCACACCACCAATATTGGTGTGGGTGATTCTTCACATCAATTAAAAAAAAAATAATAATGTCATTATCCTCAACCGAAAATTAACGAGTCTGCTGATTAAAACACAGATAATTATTTTATTAAAATAAATCTCACCACTGCTAACAAGCAACCGATTAAAAATATTGTATAAAATAAATTACTAAGATGCTTAAAAACCTGGGAGGATAATGACTTGTTAAATAAAAGTTAAGGTTTTTTGGAGAATCACCCGTGTACGAACATCTAATATTTCGCCCAACCCAAATATTGGTCGATAAGGGAAAAGCGATTGCAGTTAATTTGATGTATGTTTGCAATAAATGTACATTTAATGTGTTTTTGTTCGAAAGTATGTGCTCTGTGAAATTGATGGTCGTTGGTCTGGTAATGGAGAAAGTTGGCCAAACATTAAGTTTTATTAATGGGCCGTGCGTTTTACGATATAACTTTTTCATTTTTTGCTACACGTGCGATAAACTTTTTTTAGTTGGTTCGTGTGATATTTGCTGTATTAAAACGAAACAATATTAATCAACGAGTTCATGCATTGTGTGTTTCTATAACACATTTTATGTTACACTTACCCTGGGAACGGTCTCTTGAGCCTTCGGTGGACGATGGGCCTCGATCGCTTCTTCAGCTCATTCGGTCTCAAATCATACTTGGAGGTAGGACTGGCGTTCGTCCTCGTGCCATGTCGCTTCTGCCCAAATCTAGGATAGTGGTTTGGACGCAGATCGTATGATTTTGGATGATGTACCGGGTTGACTGTGACGTCATTCACCATCATGGGGTCATTGATTTCCCTGCTCACGCTAGGTGCAGTGATCTCATTGATCTGTCCCATTCGTTGCCAGCGACGACGCAGGTCCTTCACTTTGGCCTTTGGCACCTTTTGCAGTTTAGTTTGGCAGATGTAGTGACGAGCTTCGATGCAGTTGCGAGGTGACCACCTGAAGCAATTAGTGTCGAAATGATTAATCGTGTCAATTAAGGAGCAATGTTTGAAAATTGTTGGGAGCATGGCGGTATTCTAGTGGGTAGTTTTTGGGAGAATTTGGACTCGATATTGCAATTTCAGAAGCATATCAAAATAAAATGTGCTCGTAAAACTTTTTGAAATTGGATGTAGTTTGAATACTCTCTCAAATTATTACAACAAAATAAATACTTATTAGTATAATTAAACCAGGACAGTCACTAAGCAATGTGGGCCATTACAATGATCGCTATGTGCCCTACATACTGTAATATAAATACTATCATTGTTCCCATGTGAAACCGATGATTGCTCCATAAGGCGCCAACGGCTTGTCCTTCAAACTTTAAACCATAAAATTGACTGCTAAAAATAGGTGATTAGGTGTCTGATGACGTCATAGGGCCCACAAACCATAATGTCGTAAATTTTTGTATTTCCAAGAGGCGGTGTTGGGTGTATGGCAGTTTACCTACCGTATGGTGCAAGGCATGAGAGAGTACCAAAAAAAGTTTGGCTTCATTGATCTAATGAGGTTTAAGTACTGCTTATTGAAGCAATTTAGACTTCTATGTCATTGTATATTGGTGGCGACAGATGGACAATCAATTTCGCACGTTTAAAAATGAGCTCCGTGACCTTTGGCGCCTTTTATTAGTCGGTAGAGTTCCAGTAAGTGTTTGTGACTTTTATTAAATGGACTACGTAGCAAATATAATTTCTTAAGGTTATCGTACGGACAAAAGAGCTAGGAGCTAGAAGCTTTAAAAATCTAAAAGAGGATATGACCAAGAATGTAACATCACCGTCAGTGGGATACTGATGGCAATCACTCATGTTAATGCTGACTTTCATTCAAATCTAGTTAATACTGGTTCATACTAGTCTTAACGTACTGCGTCTTACCATGGAATAGGTACTGACGAACTCATTTCATAAATGATCGCTTGCCGCTTAAAACTCGAGTTCCAATCAGTTCTGATTTGAACCTAAATCCCAGAACGTGAGGTTTAAACAAAATCCTGTCCCAACTTTGGGAACAGTACAACATTTGTCATTTCTCGAAATCGTTTGTCCAAAACTAGGTATTGGCTGAATGATTTTTGCGAATATGTTTTTGTTTTTTAAGGACATTTGGTTTTGAGCGTGCAGTTTCTATAAACATACCTAATAAACTTTCATACTCTAATGTAAAATATTTGTTGGGGATTGTTAAAATCTATTACGTACAAGTATGAACAATCAATAAACTATTGCCCTGAGTGAGACGTAAGGGAGTGTGAGACTCTTATTCTGATAACAATTAAAATTCATTTACCTGTAAAGTAAGTCGGGCATCATAGCTATGCAGTGCCACTTCAGTTCTTCGGGGGTCATCTTCTTCATCTTGGAGAAGGACTGGTAGTGCATCTTGCGGAGATCTCCTCCCCACCGCCAGGACCTTGCTCCGTAATCGTAGATACCACCGATCCACCTACTTTCTTTTACTGTGGACAGAAGTTATGATATTAAATTCGTATTCAGCTAGAACTAAGCATTTTTTTGGTTGAGCTACAAATTTTGGCCGTGTTTATAAACCACGCTAACAACGATGACGAGATAAATATTCTAGAATAAGGTAATATTTGTTTTAGGGCTGATTTTTCAACGGTTAGATAAAAGTTACCTGGGGAATAATTATGATGCTGTCGCGTCAAAATGTTTGTATAAGACAGTGACAGCAACAATTTTATTCCTCAGATAACACTTATGACAAATAGAACAAAACAATATAGTGGTCCAAAAATGGTCTCTAGTCATCACCCGATCTTTTAAGTATTGAATTTATATTTTTAGTTCATATAGACCATGAAAAAATACTTATTTGTTCTTTAAATTGGGTTTAAGTACATGAAAATATCTGCTTTGCTGTATTAGGTGTATTTAGTTTTAATTAGTTTCACATAATTCCGATCTTAAAACGAACTATTTTATAAATATACTTTAAGAGAACTTATGAGCCATTCTATTACAAAACTTTTTATATAACCATTTATCATTTTAGTGAAAATATCTATAAATCCTAAAGAGAGATCTTAGAGCAAGAGACGGATATTTTTTATGAGTAGTGTTTTTTTTTAATATTATATGTTCGTCATTGAGAGTACATACCAACATCAGGTTTGTTAAGGTATTTGCGAAGATTCCTGTCTTCCCAACGCGCTGGCACTGTCAAGTTACTGCCTCGGTCCTGAAACAAAACAAAACTGTGTTATAAAAGTGCTCAATCAAATTAATATGAAACATATGGCATTGTTACTAAAGTTGAGTCTTCTATACAAAACATTAATTATATTAATAAATTTAAGTGTGGGAGAGCCATGCTTTGGCACGAATGGGTCGGCTCGACCGGAGTGATACCACGGCCTCACAGAAAACCGGCGTGAAATAACCACCGCGTTGTGTTTCGCCGTGTGAGTGAGGTTACCGGAGGCCCAATCCTTCCCCTTCCCCAATCCCTCTTCAATCCCTAAATCTCCAAATCCCCAATCTCTTAAAGGTCGGCAACGCACTCGTAACACCTCCGTTGCGAGTGTCCATGGGCGGCGCTGATTGCTTACCATCAGGTAATCCGTCTGCTCGTTTGCCGACCTATTACATATAAAAAAAAAATCACTATTGTCCACCAGTCCACCTGTTTTGAAACAATGAATTCATTCCGTTATCGTTTAAGATAATTCAACAAAATGTTGAGAAATGTATGTAATATCTCGCTTAAAAAAATACATGCTATTTGATAAAATTATAGAAAATTCACATTTTTGTCATTTCGGAAAAAGTTTTGAATTCGACTAGTGTGAAACTATGGGGCGGCCTTTGTACACAATCTCGCTTGGCGGAAGGCGATACTGCAACCTACGATTGAACACGCCTGCCCACATTAACTACTGCACTCCGGTTATACCATTAGGGGAACATAGGCTTCGATAAATAATTCTATCCCAGCGGTTTTGATGAAAAATCTTGATTGATTTGCTTTAACTTAATCCGTTCTATCGAAATGGTCTTGATGTTCAGATTATTATCCTTAAAATTTTCTACGCTATAGTGACGATATTCTTTATCATCCACTCAATCTATTCCCTTTTTATTAAATGCTTACTTAAGAAAACCTTTTGCACAAAGTCAAAATAAATTTATTCCATCACCATGCCTTACTGACACATCATCTAATGACAAAATTTCATCATTTATATGCTTATTACCCGTATTCTGATTGTTATTCAAGCAAAGTGTTCTTCAAGTCCTGTTTAAGCATATCAAGTGTAGGTCTAGGAATTATTTTTATGATCTATATAGTACCACATACCGTTGGGTTTTCCAAAATTTATTGTCAATTTATATTTGTATTCATTATGAGGGCTACGCGAAATTACTTGTAAGTTTGTGGGCAAGAATTAATTGAATTAGGTACACTTCTTTGAAATAATAATTAGATGCGATTGGTTGGTCCTAACCTGTGTTGTGATGTATCAGTTACTCAGTGTTTTTAGTACGACAAGCATTACCTACCTATGGCATGTTTATTTTTGTTTTGTTTGAGGAGGTTTATAATATTGGTCCTGAGTATTGCGCTTTGCTAGTATTAGGAATTGAAGGAAGGAGATTCATCTGTTTTTCGGTGGATTATGCTCGTTAAGATTTTCCCACGAGTACATTTTTGGTTTTAATATGATTAGCATACTTATCATTATAGTCAACGCGAAATAATTTTAATGTACAATTTAATTCAAGACACGTGTTATTATAATGATCACGCTGTTGTTAATGTACGTACCGATTTTAATTCTCTAGAAGTGTTTGCGGATTTTTCAGAAATCGTTTCAAGTGCCTTGAGCCGTCAAGCCTGTTTGATCAAACGTGACTGATGGATTCTGACCTAAATCTCAACGATTTTGGTGTAGCGAGTGTGTGATCTTAAAATAATGATGTTATTGTTGCAATATTTTCAAACGCCACTGTTTATTGTTGTTTAAATAATTCTTGAGTATTTGCCAAGTGTATTTGAAATGGAGCAATTAACAATAAACGTAAAATTGTAACTATTGCTAATGGTATTATTTAGGGAAATTGGGACGAATTGCCTTGAGGCTCTAAGTTAAACGCAACGAACGGTCCTTGGTTCAGTAGGCTTAGAATAAATTGATGTGGTGGCGGAGTGGCTTGATATTATGGTTTAATAAACTACAACCTTAGTAGATTCATTCTGTTACTATTTTAAAACAATTCCCGGTATAGTCGAATTGAACTATGATTAATGGCATTGTTCACTATATCAACCGAGCCCTGACAATAATAAATATCTCCTTAATATCAACTTCAAAGAAACGATTGTCATTTGTCGTAAATGTTTCTCGGAAGGCAAATTTTTGTCGCAGTACATTCTCTGGCCTATTTGTCAAACCTAAAACGACGTACGTAGGATGCGACCTTTCCTTAGGGTTGTCAGTCTTCATATTGTACGTAAGTCATTAGTCGATTTTCGGAACTCAATAATCACCAATATAGATGTTGATGAAGTCATCAGTGTTAAGAAGTGTTTATTGTCAGTTGTTCCAGTTTATGAATAGTGTACATAATATCTAAGGCGCCGCTCTTTGTAGCGATCATTTATAGTGACAGGAGTTATAAGTAGGCATCTTTTGGGTGATGAATAATAAGTATAGAAAGGCGAATAGGGTTACCTAAGATTTTTTTAAATCTTTCAAAGTTTTATGTATCATATGAAGTGTTTATTTCTTTAATAATCTTATTACTTCATAAATAAACTTAGAACTGGTCATGATAACCACGATTACGTAAGATAAAGTAATAATTAATATCTAATGGATGTAATCCGAGGTATTTCTCGTCCCTACTTCTATTTATTGGCAACATTCCGCGCTAATTCAACACGTTTGCGAGGGAAACTGCCAAGGTTCGTAGTAAAGAGGTTGTTATCTATGATTAACGCCTCCAAGCTTTTTATTAACGGTAAGGCTTCACAATTTTCTTCTTTATGGTGATGTATTTTTTATGTCTTTCTAGGGAATTACAATTTGTACAAGCCAAATAGGTTATTTTTCTTGATTATTTGTGAGGAAATAAACATTGTAAATAGGTTGGACGGTAGTGGTAGATCTACAACTACATGTAGCGCTAGTAATGCGGTGTGTTGGAGTGAGAAAATGTGAAAAATACTAAAATGTAGTATACAATCAAGGACCATTAAAGTCGATGAGTTAGGTTTGAGAGATAATATTCTGTTTTTACAACTTACAGCCCTTATTTTTAATCTGAAAGCGTCAGAGATAGAAGGTCAAAAAATCTTTTATTATTTTATCAATTTCACCGCGTTTTATGTTCTATCCTGGGCTCTGATGTCTAGAATATACAATGGAGATTTTAAACAAATATGTTCAACGACCTCGCGAAGGTGAGTACTTACTAATAGAAATTCATATCGTCTATTATCAATAACGATTTATGTGTTATTGAAAATTGATTTAGCTATTACTTAGACGTAGATATGCAGACATAAAAAAATGACATAATGACTATGAGTCAGATTTCCGTTAGTCAAAGTCAAAGTCAAAACCATTTGTTTCAAAATAGAATATTAGCCTGTCAGTCTGTTCGTCCGTCAAGATAGGTGCATTTTTGTCAATAAATTGTTGAAGTTAAACGCGCCTCTGTCATTGGACCTCTTTGATCGTGGTGGTATTGAAAGGGTTAAGGTATTTTATATGTTTTTTTAAATTTATATAAGACACTCTATATGTTTTGTTATAAAGTGCTCAATACTGCCTAATGTATTTAATTGTACACTGTTTTAACCATTATTTGGCTATTGAGTATGAAGTGTGGGAGAGCCATGCTTCGGCATGAATGGGTCGGCTCGATCGGAGTGATACCACGGCCTCACAGAAAACCGGCGTGAAATAACCACTGCGTTGTGTTTCGCCGTGTGAGTAAGGTTACCGGAGGCCCAATCCTTCCCCTTCCCCAATCCCTCCTCAATCCCTAAATCTCCAAATCCCTAATCCCTAAAAGGTCGGCAACGCACTCTTAACTCCTCCGTTGCGAGTGTCCATGGGCGTCGCTGATTGCTTACCATCAGGTAATCCGTCTGCTCGTTTGCCGAGATATTACATAAAAAAAAAAATTGAATAAGAATACGGGTACGGAAGATATAACGATGCAATTCCTTACCATTCCTTACCCTATCCATCCCGCGTCAAACCTTGAATCACCTAATCCCTTATCCCCATAATACCGGCAATGCACTTCCAACTGCTTACCATCAGGTAGTCTAGGTCTTCATTTGTCAGCGTACAATATAAAGAAAACTGGATCTATGCCTACTGTCTCTTTACTGTAACAATCATTATTTTCTTCCATGCATATTAAGTAACCAGAAACAACCAACACCTGTACGCATTAATTGTTTTATTTGGTCATAATAATAACACAAACGAAGTGGTCGAAGTAAAACATTGCGGTATCGATAATAAAATACCGGATAATATTTTTGCAATTAATATCACTGGTATTAAAAACAACACGTTATTGTTATGAGTGTGAATGTTTGTTTGAAGAAACAAGTTTATTTAATAACAAATAATTAATTACCTATCGTTTATTAATAAACGTAATCTTGTTTCAATTTGCCATCGACAATGTGTAAGCCATCGTTATGGCGTTGCGCGGGAAATGACTTTATTTTATCTGTGCTTAGTGACACTGACAATGTCTTTGGTATTCATAATATTTGAATTTGAAAAACGAATATGAAGACAAAGGACACGTTGTTTTATCGAATTGAGGTATGACATCGAGAATTTGGAATGAATGGTATTTTTTTTGTAATAATTTAAAAACATCAAATTTTATTGTTGGTTAAGTTAAAGTTTATTATTTTCGAATGTAAACTATAATAGAATAACTGAGGTTTATAAAGAACATTGGTTTATTTTCTGTCTACAAAAAAAAAAACAAAAAATAAGTTATTATACGTTAAAATGTTGTGTCAAATACCTAGATGACAAGATAGAATGCAAACTAGACAGTTTGACGACAGTTAATATCACCACAAACTGAAATAAAAAAGCAGTTTAAATCACAAATCTACAGAAACTTGTCTTAATCATCGTTGGAACGCATCCAAAAAGGTCAGGGATTAGCCCGCTACTCTAATTCTTTCCTTTGTATTCTAAAACGCATTTGAAATAAGAATACCATATGGTTAGCTCTAAATTATTGCTGTTTCTTCTTTTATTTGGCCACTCAACCTTGTTGCTAAGCGAAGCGGCGTGCGGGCTCGTTTAGATTGCCAGTTTTTAGGAGAGTCAGAATCCATCACTTGATTAGATATGTAGATAGTGAATTTTGTCGTTTAAACTACGTGCTTTATAAGAAAGACGTTAAGGATTTGATTACAATTGGGTAGTTTCCTAGGTCAAAAATAAATTAATTTCACGTTTCATTACAATAAAATATTGAAAAATAACTATATTCATCGATCGATCAATACTTAGTGTATTTATGATATTTTTTAGCTAATTTTGAAGAAATAAGTAAGTTA